TCGCTTTTTTCTTGATTTTTCAAAAATGGATAAAACGGTTACTTTAGATATTGATACATCATCCCGGGTTTACAAAAGATCGAAATTGCGAAATAATGTTGCTCAAATTAGTGTTTTAAAATGCTAGCTGAAAAAGACTACAACTGCCGTTTAACTGATATAACGGGTGATAAGCTTCCTGTCGCAAACAATACGTGTTTATCTAACCCCCATTGTCAGCATTATTGTCAGTCGAGACTTCGTCGGAGAAACATGGTCATACAGTACTCATTTCGCTCAACCTTCCGCTTTTACATCGACCGCTTATCGCTTAATTTCCGACCACGCGGTCTTGTCCGACCGAAAACCGACCGCATTTTCATCGCGTTTGTTTCGTTCGCTCGCTCATTGAAAACACCGACCGCTCGCCCAAACACTGATCACTGGCACATGAGTTGTCGAAATGGTGGTTTTGATAGTAAAGTGTGAACATGCAACTAGTATTAACTATTATTAAATTCTGAACGACACTTCAAATCTAATAGTTGTATGACACTTGTATCGTAAAAGCAATGTCAATGTTTGTCCTGTCCCGGCTGATTGTGTTGATCGACGCCCTTCCTAAACTCAGTATGGAGAAACCAATGGTGATCGAGATTCCAAACAAATTATTGGGACACGGTCGACAGACATTCCAAACAATCGAAATTATCAATGAAAGGCGAGATTTTTCTAGATGTTTACAAACATGCTGTCATTGACAAACATATGTAAAATTAACAAATACACAGAGAGGTGTAATATTAGGTTTTATAGGTCTAAAATAAAGCGGAAATTGTCCGGCCGAATTCAAAAGCGAGAGAAAAGCGGAAGCGGGCGGAAGGTTGTGCGAAATGAGTACTGTAAATTTGCACTACTTTATTTTAAATCGTGTTATTTTCCGAGTCAATATTAATAATATCTTAAGCTAATAGAAAAATTAAGCAAAAGTAAAACTCGAGAGGAGGTACTCAATATGTACAGACTTTTCTATTGGCCGCGGTTCTTTTTAATATAACTTCATTTTATAATGTATATTTACTGCGGTTCATGATATTATAAGTGTTTATATCTGATGGGTTACGAATTGCAAATAGTCGCTTTAATTCCGACAAATACTGACGGTATATTTGTCCCATTTGCAACAAATCATTTGGAAATATCTTTGCTATACTCTAAACTAATACTACTACAGTGAGCGTACAAGTATGTCGTATGTGTTGTTATGTTATTATACACGTTCACACGTTTACAAATCTTTCTCTTATGAAGAATTGTTATCGCGGTTTAGCATTAGACATATTTGCAGAAACTGCACCCGATTGTGTTTTACAACGTCGCCAATTAAAATAAAACAAATAATACATTTAATATAATTGCACCCCACAAATATATTTTAGTGGAACACACAACGCAGGTAATATTCATGTTGATGAAATTGATGTTATTGATTAGCGGAAATATATATATGACACTAATTCAATTGCCTCCCACAACACTGTATAATACAAGTGGGATGATAAGATAACGAGAAGTGGTTTCATTTTTTCTACATTCCAAATTTGTATGCCATCAGGAGACAAGGTGAAGATAATTGAACTGTGGCTGAATTGCAAGAAATTGAACAAGGTTATTAGTCTGCTATCCCATAATACATGTATTCACCATTAACCCCTAAAATATGATTATATTCTCTACTGTATTATTCATTTGTTCCACGTCATCAATATGTGAATTTGTAGGGAAGCGAAGATCATATTTTGACTTGTCCATCATTTAACAGAAAATACGGCTTTGATATCCTTATTGTTTTATGTCATAGGATCTTATGTATATTGCGAAGCCAGAACTCTTTTAGTTGCTCCAGTAACGATGGCATACCAATTCATTGCCAGTCTGACATTTAAAAACAAACGTTGGTGTGTTTGTCACGTGTGGAACATAGAAATGAAACTTGTTTACTTGGAACACATGTGTCAAGTCAGTAACATTGCTGTATTAAAAAATGTGGCACTTATGATTGTGTAATTTCTCGGGGACACAAATCGGGGGCATCGCAACTTGTAACGAGTAGGTGCCTAGATGAACACATAAATCATATGAACGAGAGATCAGATTTAATTTTATCAGATTACATTCATAATTAATTTTCATCATAATTAATTTGGTACCCCAGTTTTATTTATATTCATGGCTTTTTGATCATAATTAATTCGAAACACCAGGCTATGTGTTAAAATATTTTTTTTCTGGAGCTGTTTGCTTTTCGAAAACCATCACATTTTCTGAACGTCTTGGAAGCTGTTCAAAATAGTCGCATTTGTCTTTTGGCAGATTGCTTTCAAAGTAATAGGCCATTCACGTGGGCTGTCTATATGTTTTTCGAATATGTGGTACAGGAACTTTGTTGTGCACAACTGCAAAAATAAATGTGCGCATTCAGGTTCAATATTGTAAATTAAGGCAAATGTTTGGCGACAGCGCCCTCTAGCATTTGTGGGATTTGTCTTCATTTGGAATTCTTTGATTGGCTGGAAGTTTGAATCAAGCAAGGCGTGATATAATTGGCATGTTATTCTAAATTAGGTATTTTTTGTTTTAATTACGCAAACGAGGTCGCGATCACAGGTCAATATAGTTAGTTATACATCGTGCCTAGCGAAAGGAACATTAATAATAGTATTTTAGGGAATTTGGTATGAGCTGTCAGCATATGTGAATTGATTGGTGAACTGCTGGTTTATTAAATAACTATGTAATTGATTTTAGGCATATTTGTATACAGTGCACTAAAAAGCCACTGTACTAATCGACTGTTTAATTAGAATGATCTGGATTTTCAGACTCCGATTGTGAGAATGAAAACCGACAGTTTTTTGTAATATAAGTGTGGATTGCATTGAAAAATATTTTTTTTAGTGACCCATCACACCCCATGTACATATATACGGACAGAGTCTTGGGATTTTCACGGAATTCCATCTCTACAATCGCAAATAAGTTACGTAACCCAATATCTACGATGGAATTATATTAATCTCATATTCGCTGTGTATAAATCTGATCATAAATTTATATTTATGCAATTTATGCAGATTGTAAATCGTTAGGGTCGTATTTTGTATGGACATAACTCTAAATAACTTAAAATACATATGTTATCCCATATTTGACTACTTCTTGGAAACAGTATAGGAATAAATATCAAACACTATATAAACATGAGTATGCCAGGGTTGCATCGGTCATTACTAGGAATATAAAATAGTAACCAATATTTTCACCAGTGAAGTACGTATATTACAATACTTGAATTTATATCATTATTGGTAAAGATTGTTTGACTTTTATTACACTATTGGTATTTTTTATACTTTGTTAATGATTGATTATTACACCAATGGTTGGTATTTCGTTAATAGTTTGTTATTATATTTACAGTATCTACACGAGTTATACTTCAAATGATTCGAATTGAAATATTTATAGAGATAACATCAACAGCAGGTGCATTATATATTCATAATCATTGGAATAATATTTCAGAAACGCAAAACAATCTTTGACGAATACATTGAATAAAAAAAGCATGTTACATGTTGTTTATAAATATAGAAGCAGATAAATAGAAATGACAACTATTGTGTTTCTGTCCGAGTGACAAAATGTACGGCATAGATTATACAAGTGATATCATTTGTTTTAATAAACATTTTTTCACTAGCTTATTAAATCAACATGTTAAATGACAAATTTACCGCATCTACAGTTGGTTTGCACGAATTTTTATTAAAAGACATGCTACATTACATTTACGAAAATCTCAAATGCTCTGGTACAACAATAAAAGTACAATGCATTCAAATATCCGACTACATTTATATATCCATTGCTACTTGAGTGGTAAATAAGCTGGTTATATGATTCTATACAAAACGTTGGATTAAAATTCAGGCATTTCTGATATTTACCTATTAATTACAGTCAGAAACATTCACTAAAAAAGTTTATATATATTGATCCGAAAAGCTTATGTTATTGTTCTTTTACAAACGTATGATTGTCATGTTTAATGTGATGATTGATGTAATCGAGACGCACAGTATTTTAAACTGTTTTACAATATTCGTTCGCTATATTAACACGAACTTCTTTTTAAACTCCGGGTTTTAAAACATATCAATTTCCTTTTTAAGTCCAAGTGGTCTTCCACAAAACAATAAATAATCAGGCACACAAACATAGGAAGTAAAAAGCAACCTGAAAACACACATAATACTCATTCATATTACATTCCGGTATTTTGTTAATAACCTTATTATTGTACATTATATTTTAATGATCTTGAAAAAACGGTCGGGTTAAATATCGCTTTCAGAATAGTTTGCCATCAGGCATTGCCAGTGACGTAATTGAAATTTGCATATTCGCCCACTCGACTGATCCAAATTTTGAGCGTTCGTTTTTTACTCGATCGGACCATACCGGAAGTTCACCAATCGCTCTCGTGTGCATTCATAAATGCTATATAAATTGTCTGGCAATTGCATTTATGCAATCACGTTACACATATCTTTATATAGAATGTAACCGAAGAAGATGCAATCAATTTTGAAGATCATCGCCCGGAAATCTGTTGTCCATAACGGAACTTATTGATAAATATTACCAGTATTTTGTCGGATATATGTGATTTTTTTCAAAATGTCAACAACAGCACGTTAAAGACGACCAGTTAAAGACTGGGATTGAAACAGTAGACTACAAGCGATCCGGATTATTATGCAATTGAGTGTTGGAGGCGCAAATTCAACACTGAGCAAGCTTCTCAGCTTCTCATTATTATTTTAGTCAACAAAGGCGTGTAATAATATTGTTATACACAAATTACCGCTTTGCGTCCCAGATAATACATTTGCTGTACGGTGCACCAGTCGTAAATTCAGGTATTTTGTAAATAATAATATTCTTACGGACTGAGTTTATTCAACCATTGTTTCGATTGTAGCTTTTGAATTTTTACGTCGGGCTTTACTGTGGAGATCACGCAATGTAGTCGGAACTGTCAGACCAACCCTTGTACGTTCCTCGTGTTGTTTGGCCCCACTTGGGTCTTTTACTATCACACAAATCTGTAGAAAAATTAATAAAATCATATCATTCAGAATTTGCAGTTTAATTACATCCACAAAGGATTTCCAGTGAGTGGCCATGTAATATAATAATAATTATATTAAAATAATTTATTAAATGTATGTTGTAATTTTCATCACATTTTCAACCCGTATATGCATTTTCAGCTGTTTTGTTAGATTTACTTCTAATTGCTATATATGGTGCGCAAGTGTTTTATGTTTCTTAGCGCGTTCAATTTATTTGCTCACTGAAGCCGTTATATGAATGTGCGTTTTTTTAAACGACCAATGTATTACAATTATATGACAAATTACCCATACATTCTCAACTCGATTTGTCAATGATCAATGTGCATTTTGACAGTAAATGAACGTGTAGTAATGGCCCATGTGCAAAGCCAATTAAAGAATGGCGGAATTAGCATCCAATCAAATGCGATTTAAAGTAAAAAATAAAAAAAAAACATATAGAGAAAACATTCAGATTCCCCAAAAAACATTTGCCTACTCATCACAGGAGCTATGCTTTGGACCGCTATGAACCATTATTTACATATTTCTTTATTTTGCAATGAGCTTTCCACTCACCTTTGGAATGAACATCATACAAAGTGTCATTGAAGTACAGATCCATATCGGAAAAAAGAAGAAGGCAAAACCAAGAAATGGGTCACTCTTTAGTACAAATGAAAGCGATATAACGACAATGAAAGATACCATGATGTTGTTAACGGAAATACTGATTTGTCTGTAAATAGATAAAATAAAATAGATTAGAAATATGGTGAGAAACTGCGATAAAGACTTTCCATTTTCGACATCGTGAAATTCTTTCGTTTTTATGCAGAAATACATTTTTTTCCCAAGTAAAATCATACTTCTTAAATTTATTGTTCATACATGAGTTGTTGAGCACACGACATAGTTTGTAATTTCATTTTGTTTCTTACAGTCATATTCCAAGACAACTAAAAGGCAAAAATATAGGGAATATTGCAAATTAATTTTTGTACGTAAAATTCCTGTGCAATCGGTAAATATATGGAAATTATTCATGGGTGCACATGGAATACATTTCATTGTGAATTATTCTTAATATCAATTTCTGAATTATTTTCTCTCAAAACTTAAAAGAATTTCACAATGTC